CACACACACACACACACACACACACACACACACACACACACACACACACACACACACACACACATCTGGCAGCTTCAGTTGAGTAAACTGCATAATGTCATTACACCAGGCTTTTCTGTGAGTGGACGTGAATGTCAGGTTGCTATTTTCGTCACTGATACTGAACACAATGGAAACTGAGCCAGGACCCGGGATGATATGATTTATATAAAGTAAAGTGAAATATTCCGCTTCCTGTCAGGGCTCCAGGAATCAGCCCTGGATTCACTGGAGGCTTCGCTGGACTGTCAGACGATGCATTTCTCCGAATCGTTCAGGAAAACTAAAAAACACACCTCGAGAGGAATAACAGGGAATAAAATCAACTATTTAAGAAATTACAAACAAATAAGTTTAAAGAAACAGTGCAGGATTATTTTCTTTATCTTGTTTAAGATTGAGTGAAGAGACGTTTTCATGGAAAACACCGAGTCACGAGGGCTCAGATGTAAATACAGGTAGTTGTAGCGTAAACACTAATTTAAACTGTGAAAGGTTTGGAGTTATGACAGTTAAGTGGCTGCTACAGGTGGAGGGAAACAGCAGCAGTGATATTCATGTGCTCAACCAGAGATGGTGGAGATATAGACTTCATCAGATAGACAGGAACAGGAAAACACTAAATATGTCAAAGCTCTCCCAGTTTCAATGTGACTGTTCCTGGTTCTGACTGATTCCTGAAAAACATTTTAATTAAATCTGCAGTTTAAACCCAGTTTTCCGTTGACGTGTTCTCACAACGTCAAACACACGGGAGCCTCGACTTGTCTTCCATCGTCATAAACTCGCTGCCTGGAGCCACAACCGAGATGAGGCCCAGGGGAAATGATTTAAGAAGGTGAGGCGGCAACAACGGAGACAGAGGTGGTGGTAACCAAGCAGCAGTAGTAGTAATAGTAGCAGTGTGTGTGTGTGTGTGTGTGTGTGTGAGGAAACTTTCTGAAAAGCGTGTTATCTTCCCAGCTGTCAGAGGAATGAAGCAGCAGCCACTTGACTGAGCGCTGTGTCTGGGCATAGAAAAGACTTCTCCAGCTGCACGGTTACAGTTTTCTAGGAAAAACACGTGGTGATCGTGCACGATAAATCACGAGTGGTTATACTGCAGCAGTAAAATGCAGGCACTGACATTTTCTCACATGCACAGCGCTGACAGTAAAACACTAATCTGAGCGCACGCTGTTACTTTATGAACTGAAAACTGATCATGACTTGGTTCAGATTTAGAGGGATTTTGTTTTTCCAACGGCAGAAACTTCTCCTCTCGGCTCAAAGCTTCATTTATCAGGAAAATTGATTTGCGCTGTTGAGGTTTTAAGTAAACGCAGGCCTCCATCTGTCCCTGAACTTCACACCATTACCTCCCAATCTGCTCTTTGAGTGTCAGACTGCTTCCCACTCCTGTCTCGTGCCAACTCCATTTTTTAATTCTGGTTATTGTTTAATCCTGTCGTGGCAGGTGAATTACAAATCTACACGAAACTTGGTGGAAGGATGTGATGAGTCAGGGAGTCTGCGGATCCAGGAGGTTTTGTTTTAACTTACTGTCACATTGCTGAACTTGTTGATTTAAGAAACAATGCAACTGAACTGACGTCATCTCTCTTGACCTTCAGTGTCTTTTCTGTATCTGATTAACCAGCTCAAAGAGTCCTCAAGGTGAAACAAGGGCAGAGCAGTTGTGTGTGCAGTTTTGTAACACAACAGTGAAAGACTTGTGACCTCTCAGGATCCTGATCTGTTGTTTTGGACTAAACAGCACCTCCATGATCCCAGCCACAACAACACCAGTTCTGCTGGCAGCTACGATGGCAGCGAACGATAAGCGTCACACACACACTAACGGTTATCACTGTCAGAGTCTCTTCATTGTCTGGATTCCTCATCTGCAAAATGACCCTGATTCCTGTTCTGAAGCATCCGAGGTCGTTATTATTTCCACCAATTTAGGAGGAATGTCACTTCCTCTGGTCGTGTTTCCTCCTGTGATGCTGCCGACAGCGGTTCAGAGACACTGTGGCTCTTTACAGATGTTTTTATTTTTGCTTTTTGCAGCTTCAACAACGGGATCCATTGATTGTTTCTAAAAAAGTTGATCTCCTGACTCAGCTTCTTTCCCGTTGAACATATTTAGCAGCACTGCTGGACTCAACAGCAGATTTATCTGTTGCAGATAAAAATCAGCTGACATGAGCCTTTCACAGTCTGGTGTCAGTGTTTATGATGATTGAAAGTAAAACTTTTATTTTACAGAACAAAATATACAGAAAAGATGTGTTTAAATCTAAAATGTGTGTTCTATGAATTTTATTTTCGATTGGTTTGGTTGTATTTGTGTTTTCTTTTTATTTATAGTAATCTGTAATAAAGTTAATGGTTAAACTGTCAAATATCAAGCCTCAGTTTCATTTTTTCGTTAAATAACAACATATTGATTATTATATTATATATTCGACTGTGATATCAGACTGTGTTGGCCCCCTTCTCAATTGAGTAGAGCCTAACTCGGCCTCTGCTTTTACTTTTGTGAGTAGAGTCTCACTAACTCCACAAAATAGGATAGTAGTCAGTTTGCATGTAGTAGCTGATACGTTAGTTTTATTATCTATGTTTACTCAGGGAGGTTTTACTGGTTTTTGTTTTGTATTAAAGATAAGTGAGAACAGGTTTTCTACTTTTATTATATGATATATTCATTTAAAAGTCCGACAGTGTTGGAGGGTTCATTAAACCTGATTATATCTAGTTGTTAAGATCAATTCAAACTTTCTTCTGGCCTAAACTCTGCAGTAATGTTGCCCAGTGTCGACTTCTCCTGAACCTCGAGTGACCCAAACACTCAGCCTTTCATTTTAAAGCTTAAATCTCCTTTGACTTCACTGACATGTATTATAGCTCAACTCGCTGTGTAATTGAACGTGTGGAGGGCAGAGCAACTCGGAGAATATTTACTCTGCAGGTTATTCAGCCGTCCGGCGTGAATCATGGCCGTCAAACAATTGCATCTTTGTGGGCCGCCACTAAATCAGAGTGCACAAGAAATCCCTGTGAGCAGCCGCCCCTCCTTCACTGTGAAATTTAAGTCAAATTAAAGAAGCCGGCAGGATTCATCTTGACAAGTGCAATAAGGCCACGTTACAGTCGTAATCGTAAGTCGTTTATTGCAGGGAAATAGATTCCTGCTTCTATTAAGCTTCTGACGCTGCGTTCTCCTGACAGCGGAGTGAACCGAGAGGGAGGTAGGGCACAGTGAAGGGAGACCGAGATTTGTTGTTCCTGCGCGTTGAGACGGAGGTTCAGGTGCAGCCGGCCGGGCTGATAACAAGAGGAGGGAACAGAGAAGACGAGAGGAAAAACAAGGTTCATTCTGAGAAGTCTGGTTCAGGGAAAGATAGAGGGGCCCGGGGAGAGAAAAGAGAGAGAGAGGCATCCAGCAGCACGGTGTGAAAAGAGAGAGAGAGGGAGAGAAAGGGGCGATTGGGCTGAAAACAAGCAAACACACACAAACTCGGCCACGTGCTGCAGGAGCATTCATGTGTTAGGATCAGTTCACTTGTGAGGACCTGTGGGGATTTAATCCTCACACATAAAACCTGATGTGGATTTTTTAAAAGACTTGGGTCTAAAGTTTTGAGATACGACGAAGCAGCGTCATCACTAACACAAAGTCCAAAGTTTAAATTATTGTGTCTCCACAAGTTAATTTGCTGCCTTTACTAAAGGTTGATTTTCAATAGAGACACTAACTTAAGTTGTAATCCCATCATACAGGAAGTACTTCAAACTATGTTTTATTGTTATTTGTGTTTTATTTATCATAATTTGTATGGTTTTATTTTAACGAACATAAATCTACAACACACTAGTACTGACATTAATTTAACTTTAATACCTCTATTTAATTTCTACACAAACTCCATACATACGTTTCTGCAACTTGTCTTCAGTCTGAATGATTTTAAAAACTTTCTTTCTATCCTTGTAAAGACAGATTGTGTTACGTGATACTGTCACAGACCAATCCCAACCAGGAGCCTGAACCTTATCTAAAGCTAATCTTATCCTGAGTCTTCAAATCAACTCTTAACCCTCAAATAGCTTTTTTGGGAATTGTGTGAAAAAGTGACAGTCAAGATTTCCACACCTTGTCTATAACTCAGAGTGGTCCTCACAAAGATAGAGCTACACACACACACACACACACACGGAACAGGACTGGATGAAAGGTGACCCTCTGTTTTCCTGGAGCTGAAGTCAGACTTTGAACCTCGCGGGCCAACAAGGGGAACATCAAGGTGAGCAAATGTTCAACAGATTAAGATACTGGGGGAGAAAAAGAGGGAGAGCTTGGGGGGAGGGGGGAGCATGGTGGAGGGAGGTGTTTGAAGTGTGTGTTAAAGGCTCCAGTGGACGTTTTTGAGCTGTGGAGACTTTTGATTTGCCAAAAATGTCAAGTCGTTCTCTGGCGGGGTGAAGGTGTCGGTCAGAGACGTAGATGGAAATAAATGTTCTGATGAGAAATTTCCCTCCACAAATGATCACAACAACCACAAAAGAAGAACTGTCCCTGTGCACCAACAGTAGGAGAGAGATGTTCTTACTAGAGACAGGTCCTCTGTCTCTGCCCCCAGAGACTGGCTGAAGTCCTCAGCGCTGAGAGGAAGACTGTCCTCTTCCTCCTCTTGCTGGTTGGGCTCCTCTCCCAGGGCGGGGAAGACGGAGAGCCCGCCCACCTCGGCATCCACCATGCCATCCAAACTGTCGGTGAGCGCGGCGAGCAGAGCCGCATTCTCCTCTTCTATCTGGAGGGAGAAGAACACAACGAGAGCGTGGGTGAGAAATCGACAAGACTATACACTTCAACTCTATTTCACCCCAATGCAGCTGTTATAAAAGCTGATGTACTTGAATATTTTCCATTTCTCAACAACTTCAACTCTTTATTAACGGTCAAAGTGATTTTTCAATTTCAGCTTCCATCTATATTGTAATTTATCTCCTTTTGCACAACCCACATTTCCTCATCCTGACATTTGACTGATTTCAGGTAATAATTCATGGATCTTAATGAAAAAACAAAATGTGGATCCAGTGAAATGTGGTTTCATAAGGGGACTGTTGGGCCTTGGCAGAAATATGCACCCTCCAGCGATGTGTGATCCCGCCCTGCAATCCACACAAAAGAAATAACCATATTTGAGTCATTTTATCTTGAGTCATCAAGACGGTTGGAAAACAACTACACTTCCCGCCAACTTTATGTTCGTACTCAACATTCACGCCTGGAAATTATTGTCCGAGGTGGATGAAAAAGAGGAAGCTGTCATGGCTGAATCACCCCTCTTGTTTCCCTTCCTCCTCTTTCCATGCTAGACCATCAGCTTCTTTTCAATCCTGTCCATTATTGTGGATAATATTCCTAATGTACCCGACCTTTGACCTCATCAGACAGAAACTGTTATCGATTGGTCTGCAGCATCATCATCAATCATCTAGGTTCAGTTCCCTGTGTGTAGTTTTTCTGAAATTTGAACACACACCATCAGAAAACATTATTTATCTGTAATTTCAGTCAGAATCTTTTTTCCACTGCTCCCATCCCTCCTGTTACACCCACACGGGGGTTGTTTACTGTTATGGAGCTGCCATCTTGCTGAGAGCGGAGTCTGGCAGAGAGGTGATAGCATGGCTGGCCTACGGGAAGCCACCGTGCTCCATTCATCTGTCTCTTCTCTTTATCATCCAGCTCTATCAGTTCCCGGCTGCCAAACTATTTATTATTAAATTCATGTTGTCTTGTCTCTCAGAGCTTTGCTGACTCGCCGTCTCTTCAATGGATGCTGCGACTTAGAGACGCTCCGCCGGACGTCGGGAACGTTCTCAGAGTCCAACTGAATTAATCAGATTAGACGGATATTAATTAGATTTCCTGGATATTAATTGGATTGAACTGGGAGTGTGAAAAGAAACAGAGACGGAAACAGAAAGAGAAGGAAAGTTACACCAATGACAAGAGGCCGCAAAACTTATTTCATGTTATTATTGTTATATCATTAATAATATATCATTAAAGTAATAATATATCATTAAAGTAATAATATATCATTACCCCTAACCCTTAACTCTACCATTATTTATAAAATGAAATCCTACCACACACAGACACGGATCAATCCCGCCCGACATGGGATTAGATTCCGATACACTACTGTAAATAAGTGGTGTATTGATGCGCAGCACAGAGACGGAGACATGGAGACATCATCTGTTGGCTTATCACTCTATTCATTACTGTGTGTTCATAACTGAAAGCCGTCTGACCGTCTGCTCGCCCGTATTAGTCCGATCTATACGATATTGGCTAAAATATAATATGTCAGAGGAGAGAAGGGGCGAGGACTTATGGAAGACATGGGAGAAAACTATTATTTATTCTTAATAAGGTCTTTTCAAGTGGGGATATTATAAGAAATAAAATAAGCTGTGGTTCAAAGTTGTTATGAGAGTGAACAAAAGACTGAGAATAGACATGGGGAAAGAAGAAAAAATTAATTAAAAGACAAAGACAAAAAAAAGACAGAGAAAGAAAGACGATTGAACTCAGAAAGAAAAAAGTTCAATTTGAGTCAGGAGAAGATTCGGTAAAGAATAATAACTACAAGGGAGCGAGGGAAACGAAGAGATAACAGACAAGTGAAAACTGTGAAATTAGATGGAGAGAAACAAGAAGAGTCATGTCTTCTTTTTTGTCTATTTCGTCTTTAAGTCTTTATTAGTTCAATGCCGTCACAGTAATGAAGCTTCTGGCTCTCGTGCTCTTCTTCCTCATAAAGATTATGGCGTCAATACAAATATATATTAGTGCTGATGTAGCTCTGTGTCGTAAACGTTTGTTTTGTGTCGGAAGCAGGAAGACGAACAGTCTCTCAGACGTCGGCTAATGGGGAATCGAAATAAGAATTAAAAAAAACTGCAGGAAGACACAGAGAGAACAGAGCAGAGAGAGAGAGCGTCTATGTTTACTTCACCTACATTCCCATCATGCCTTGCCTCTCTTCATTTAACCAATGCTCCGTGGTGCATCGCAGCATTAGAGCAGTTTTCACCGGCAGAGTTACATTACAGAACCTAAATGCTATTTTATCTCTCTGTTGTCGTCTTTTTATTCTCGGGATGCACTCACTTTAGCCGCTGTAATGGGAACGCGGGACGTCACTGGGGCTGGAAACCTAGAGACAATCAATGATCCAGGTTTTGCTTTCAGACGTGGAGGGTGTTCCCTGAATTCATCCACCAAGGGCACCTGATACTGGAGCCTCAGGCCTTCCACTGGCCCCCGTAAGAAGTGTGCTCATCCAGACTGATGGACTGCTTCCGTCATCATATTACACACAGCATAACTGGCAATTACTTTCTCAGCAATGCCCCCGGAGACAAGCTGCACGTCCAAATTTAAGTGAGGGGATCGGGTGAAGGTTTGGGGCTTTGCACAAGTCAAGGGAAAGAAAACTTTGGCCCCGAAGCCAAGATTCATTAAATGTCTGGACAATCAGAGATGAGCTATACAAGTAAAACAAGCAAGTCAAGGTAACATTTCATATTCTCAACAGTGAATAAACGTAATACAATACAAGCCCAGGGCAAAATGCAACAAAGACTTATCACACCATCTTCTGGTTGAATTGCTCAAAAAACACCTGCAGCATGAAAATGACTATCCGATAATTCCAGAAATCTCTATCTGTCTGTTCACGAGAATGGCTCCTATTATCAGCTTCACACTGGGCACGTGTGTTGTTAAAGGCCCAAGGAACAACGGGCGATCGACGGGCGACCAGCGCTCTGCAGCAGCTGCAGGGTCTCAGCAACCTAAGTGACCACCAGCGCAATCACAACAACGGTAACAACTGATTCTCTACGTCGGGCTAAGCTAACTGAGTCGAGCTTCACCACACTTCGATGAGAACAGCTCTTTGTCAGGCAGCAGGTCTCACTGCCGGTCACTTTTACTGTTTCAGGAGAAAAGCTGCAAACAGCAACACCACAGGTCAAGTAAACAGATTCTGAGAAGCAGACATTTAAGTAATTGTGGTGTTGCAATAGTTATATCCAGAATTGTAATCATCACAGAACTGTTTCACCCTCACAACTGCCTGTTCGAATCCCACATCCAATGCAAAATCAGTGTAAGAGCCAATTCCAAGAAGCAGAGAGAGAAAAAAAAAGTACTCCCATATTACTTTAAATCTCATATAAACTTTTGAAAGGTGTCCCTGAGACAAAAGGCTCAGGCAGCTGGGTTGTCTTCTGTCACTGCTGAAACACTAATGATGTGTTTGGTCCGGCCAAACACATCATTCCTTCGATCAAATCAGATTAACAAACTCTCCATTTTAACCGAGGCTTCAGTCATCCAACTTTGTGGATTAGGTTTAAAAACCCAATCTGGATTTGAATTTGTTGGTGAAATGAGTTGTTTTCTTTCTGCAAAGACGTGTTTGTGCCTTTAACTTTGAACCTGCACTTAGTAACATCTTTTGCACAAATGTCTAAATTAGGGTATTGAAGTCTTTGTTGTCTGGAAATCAAAAGGGATGTGAATGTCATGTTTTTATTGGGCCGACTTAGAATTCTCAGATATCCCTTAATGACTCAAAGGATAAAGATAAAATAACTACAGTTAAAAACCACCTTCACCTCAAACAACTTCTCCTTCGGCCAAGATTATCTGGAACATTCATGATGAAAGCATCGAAGAAGTCATCTGCAGTACAACAGTACTGCAGATTTGGAGCCTCACCTCAAAGAGCTCATCTGCCGTACTATAGTGGATGGAGGCTGGTGACGCGTCTGCAGCCTGATCGTTGCACCACTGCAGCTCACTGAGACAGTTGACGCTGTCGAAGTCACTGGTGTCCAGCTGGGAGAGGTCGATGTCCGGGAAGTCAGTGTCCAAACGGTCCGAACACACCTCCTCCTCCCCATACTGTAAGATGGAAAAACAGAGGAAGAGAGAAGGGAAAGGTCACGTTAGTCAAACATCAAGATTAAAGCAAAACTCCCGGGAGGTTTGTTCTTTTGAGATGTGACCGAGGCGCGTGAGTCACTTTGTAAAAAACGTGATCCTGAGTAACTGGAGGTGCTGATCACAGCTGGAGGGATCGTCAGTGAGAAACGAACGAGTTTGCATGCGTCACCGGAGTCGGCCACTTTGCTCTTTTATGCGTTCACAAAGGAAATTATGTTTTCTCTGTAACCACTGCTGTCTAACAACCCAAACATGGGAAATAACTGCGCTCCCAGCTAAGGTTGCCGTTTCCTGTGAAGTTCACCGCTCGACGCAGCACTGCCATTGTTATATTTAGGGATTTGGTTCCCACTGGGCCACACTTTGTGAAATATGTATGCAGTTGAAGCACTGTGAGGTACTTTGGATAAAAGCCTCCATCATCTGGCATATACTGTATATTATTGCACGGCTCACTGTCTGAGTCACAAGGAGCTCTCATCAACAGGCCCTCATCTCTCAACAGCTACTCATTACAGATAATGAGACTTCCATGTTTGAGGAGCTTCGACACTGAAACCAATGGAGGCATCTGCCCGGGCACAATGAAGGATTAGACAGAAAATGTGTCACATACTCCAGCCGTCGTTGTGCAGAGGTCCTGCACACAACAAAGTGTGATTGTGTCAAAGGGGGTCTTCATGTGATTAGTTCCCCTCGGTCAGAGTGGGTGTTAATCAGTGAAATTAGCTCCTCTGTGTAATCTGTAGACTTCTTGGTCACGGTGGCACGTGGTTGAAAGAGCTTTTCTGTGGTCTATGTGGCTAAAGAGTAAATTAGTCTGGATCCTTTGAATTTATCCTTTGAAAAAGATTCTGGGCCCTCAGAATGATCCACTGGACTCCCTTGTGGAAGCGCACAAACACATTTGGAGAGGCTCATGTCCAGTAGATGAGCTTCTACTGTAGTGGCCACAGACTCAGAAGATACAGGGTCTTCTGCAAAGAGCCTTGAATTCATCCTCTATGTGACGGAGGATGGAACAGATTGGAAAAGTAATCTTGAATATGTGATGGATATTTTACATCAGTAGTAGTAACACAACACTTTCAAACTGTTGAAAAATTTTATTCAAATTAATATTTAAAAGTACACTGAAGTTAAACATACTTTTGATCACCGTGCCCCTACAAGCCTCATTAAGGACTCAACAACCATCTGTCCTTCATTATCCGTACTGCTTATCCTTTGAGGATGGAATCAAGACCCCCCTTAAAATGTCTCGAGTAACTTCTTGAACCTTTTGAACTCCACCAGGGGGCCTCGCAGCACCCCCTTGAATCCATAAAACAGTCTTATGATCCTAAACCCACAACAATGGACGTTACTCAAATCCCTTAGAATCCTTTAACTTTACACAAACCCCTCAATTCCTGCTGTTTGTTGTCAGGAAACCTTCTCAATAACTTTCAGATCTTCTCAAAGACTCTTACAGCATATCGAGACAGTCTCAACACCACTAAAATAATTCTGGAGTCCCTTTAGAAAACCTGCTACACCACCAAAAGCAAGGACTCCTACAGACCCCTGAACCTGATTTAGAGAACCTCCTCAATAAGCCTTAAAATGGCCTCAAGAACACGTGGATTCACCTTTGCAAACTCCTTTAAGGGATAAACCCTGAAAAACACCGAAGTCATTTTCAAACCCCTTAAGGAAACACTCAAAAAGCCCGAAACGTGTTCCAGTCAGAAGGTGGTGCCACGTGGTCTGCAGTCACAACACATGGCTGCGGCTTCAGACAGAAACACTGAGCCACGTCACAGAGAAGAGAGAAAAGTAGATGAGGAGGAAGTGTGTGTACGTGACTCGGTGTAAAGAGAAGGGACCGTGGTCTCTTGTGGGAGGTGAACGAGGGAGGAAGGAGGAGGAACTTTTTTTGTGGGGGTAAAGAGGAGAAAGACAGAAGGAAGTTCAACTGATATTTTAACAAGCATTCATGTCGTGTATCAGTTTCTTAAAAACAAAAGGGATCCAATGTCCAATTGTGTATAGAAGCATGGCCTTTGTTTCATTCATACGCCCACACACACGTGTACACACACACACACACACACACACACACACACACACTTCCTTCTCCATTCTCCTAACAGGGCAAGTAAACAGGGCCGACCAGTTATCAACCAACCGTCTTCAAACTGAATCAAACTGGCAGTTTTCCCTCCCTATCAGATATCCTCAGCACTAACATCATCTCAAACTGACACTAAACTGCACAGGGCTGGAATTTTGTCTCTGAAAGCTGCCAGTAAATAACTCTGCACCAAGATAAGAACATTACTATTATGTTATAGTGTTATAAAGTGTTTATGGCCAAAAGTCTTTGATTGATAACGTGCAACAGTTTCATTGAAATACCATAGAACACATCCATCATGTGAGAGTTTATTAACATCACTGATGCCACAGACGCTGATTTGCTCGACAGATTGTGAGATTCACTGTGACGTCACAACGATGTCTCTCTCCTTCATTCACATTACGACACAGTGACTGAGTGCCGTCTTCTCCTAAACGACAGGTGACCAAGCTGAGAAAAATACAACCAAGCAGCCGGAGAGAAATTGTTTTTCTTCATAGTTTCTTGCACAACATCTCATCTTTATCACCAGTCTCTGTAATCTTCCTCCAGGAGCCTTCAGAGAATCTCCACGCTCCCTCACTGAGGGGTTACATCAGATGCGTGCGACCAACTGTAAGATGTCGCACATCATTTATGCGAGCTTCGTTACACATACGGACAGCGTGCGAGCGTTAACTATGCCACAATTAACATTAAGCTTCATGCACAACGTGTAAAGAAGACATCGTTCAATGTATTTGGCAAAATTCTGATTATTTGACCGACTGTCTGCAGCTAAGACCAAAAACTTAAAACTGAATCGACAAACAGTTTTACAGATTCATGATGTATTGATGTTAATTTCACATAGCAGTGACTGATCATCATCTCTCTCTTCTTTAACTGTGCATTTTTTCATTTCTTTCTTTGATTTGAGACAATATTCATCTCGTCTCTCAATCATTACGACGTTCACTGTTTTCACAACTGTCCCCGTGTTTATCTGTCTGAGCGAGGAGTGTTTATTTGGGTCAGGGAATGGATAACATGGGCTGATATCATTCATGGTTTCATAAATTACAGAGCAGAATTACACAGAACACCAGAGCAGACGTGATCAAAGAGCCAATCAGCAGAGTGACGAGAGAGAGAGAGAGAGAGAGAGAGAGGGAGGATGGAGGGAAGGAGCGGCGTGAAAAGGAAGAGAGGGAAACGAAGGAGAGATGATGGGAAACAAAAAAAAACGGCGGACGCAGAGATGAGAAGAAGGAAGAGGATAGTGATGGGAAAGACAGAGTGGGTGAGTGGGAGAAAAATGAGAGATGTGGGTCAAAAGAAAGGGAATGAAAGAACGAGGGAGGGGGGAGGGAGGGCAGTCGTGACTTGATAGAGAAGCAGAAGAAGATGGGAAGGAAGGAGGAGAGGATGCCCTCTGTAAGAGCCTCCCATCGCTTCCTCTCCTCGCAGTTGCTGATGCAGATGTGTGTTTTCACTGTGTGTGTGTGTGTAGTTAGCATGCAGCTCACATCCCCCTCACGTGCGTCTGACTCATCCCCCTCCACACTTCATTCCTTCCCTCTCTCCTCTTTCATCTCATCCGCTCTCTTCCCTCCTTCACCTGTCCTTTCCTTGACTAGCATCCTCTCTCCTCCATTCCTCCACTCTTTTTCTCCTTTATCGTTCTTCACTCTTTCTTATACTCAATATCTTTCCATTTCAATAACTTCATCCCTCTCTCTTTTCTTTTCTCTTCTCCTCTCCTCTCATTACCATCTTTCTTACTCATTCCTCTTCATCTCATCCTTTTCCCTCATCTCCTCTATTATTCTTTCCATTTTCCTTCTTCTTTGTTTTTCTCCTCAGATCTTTAACTTTTTCTCTTTTCCTTCTCTTCCACCAGTTTCTTCTCTCATCCCTCCTTCTCTCCTCTCCTTTCCATCGTCTTCCTCAGTATCCCTCTCCTCCACTTCGACCCTCTCTGGCCATCGCCCTTACTCATCTCTTCTTTCCTCTCCTCTTCACTGCCCTTCAATTTCTTTTCTTCCGTCCCCTCACCTATTCTTCTCCCGTCTAATCCTCTTCATCCTCTCATCTCTCCTCTCTCCTCCATGTTCCCTTCTTCTCCCCTACATCCGTCCGTTTCTCCCTCCTCGTAAACTCGGAGGACAGGCTGATTGATTTCTTTGTTTCCACTCAGCCTCTCTCTTTCCTCCTCTCCATCCCTCCTTCTCTCCTTTCATCTCTCCACTGCAGCCATCAATCAATAAAAACATCCTTGGGCATGGCGCACACATTTCACACACCTAAACATGTTGCACCAGGAATCAGGGAAACCTTGACATACAAGTGAGGTGTTGAACAAGCAGCACACATGTACACCTGCTCAGAGGGCAGCTGTGATGTCATGTCGTGAAAGCAGCGTCCTGCTCCGTCACACACACTCACAGCTCCCATGTTACATGTTAACACACACGCAAATGGGTCGTCCCACGCATACAAAACTATGCAACACAGACCAATCACAACAAAACACATAGAGAAGGAACGCCCACTCTGCTGCACTCATATTTACTTTTTTCTGCGTCGTACACGATCAAACTTTGTTCACCAGCTCAGAGAAACAGCCCGTTTTAGTCCAGATGAAGTCATGGAGGTGAACAGCCCCGAACTGAGGTGGCTTTAAGTTGGAAATCCAGAAGTGTGGGTGAGAATATAAAGTTTTGTTCTGTGCTTATTTTTCTGTGGGAAAAATAAATAAAAAAAGAACATGAAAGGGAGAAAAGTGTCCTATTCTTCTCTGTGTTAATGTGCTGCAATGATAGCACAATAGCAGCTCAGCAATGAACCCATCACT